ACGTCAACAAAATGCAGTACTAGAATTTTAGATATGCATAATTCACACCACTATGAATACACGAGAAAAGAATGATGTTAACATATTCAAAAGCGTAACCCGCTAAGAATAAGTAAAACCCCTTGTTCTGTTTGGTAATTCTAATTTATATTATATTGACAATCACCACCATCCTATTTACCGGGATAAACATGCGTGTCTCTCATCTTCGTGTGAATTTATTTGCTTCAATGTAAATGCAAAAAGTAGGATACCCCTAATCCTATTCAATAATAAATTACATACTTCATTCATCTTATCCCGAACCAGCATACTTGTACCACATGTAAACATACTCACTTCTATTCTTATATACGGTGGTATATACAAGGACAAGGTCATTGTCTGTGGCTTTTGTAAAAGGTGTATAACAACTCTTGAATAGGCTAGCCGTGGAAAGCAGGGTATTATTGATAACCGTTATCTCATCGAGGGCATCTTGTATTGTTCGCGACCTCTGACCTGCTTTGCACGCAACCTTTGTGTTTGTATTCTATTCCGGTTTGCTTAAACATGTACAAAGGAAGATATTCTTTCTTCTAAGCTTTTTTTTATTCTTTTGATATTAGTTTGGGAAGACATTACAAAATGTTCTCTGAAACACATTGGTTTTCAAACGAATCCCCTTTATCCATTATTAACAAGAAACACCTTAGATTTTTACCAAACTTTTCGACAGTCAATGGATATGATTTTCAGCAATATTGAGGTAATTCCTTTTCATTCCCTAACTTTATAGTAAATACAATTTGTTATGTATATACTAAATAATCACCCTTTCCCATCTTTTTTAGACAGTTTCTTGCACAATAATATAATGACATGACCAGAATTCAACCTTTTCTTAAATCGCACTTGATAAAGGCGCGTGCCTTTATTCAGCATAGCGGCGGAGTGAAAGGGGTTTAACCTGTTAATCGGGATTAAGAGAGGATTAAGATGCGCGTTTAATGACGTGCGATCCGTAAGCATCGTTAATCCGCTATTCGCTGACTGGTATTTAATTCTGTTCATCGCGGTATTTATACGCGAATAATTTTCCCAAATGCCAGTTTCTTGCAGGTACTTGATTTTGATTTAACTTCTTCGGTTTTTTTAAAACGCTTTTTCCCAATTTTAAAACGTTATGGTAATTTAGTGCTTCAGCGATCCCTAATAATTCAATATAATTCTGGTATTTAGCAAGATGCATTAAACTATGTTTTTAGGCGATTTTGTTATCTCATATTGCATGAATTATGTCGGTCAATAATGAAAATGACATTACAGCTAGCACATAATCTCATTTAGGTACCTGACTATAGGATACTCTAAATAACTTATGACCAAAACGATCGTCTATTGAACATCTTTTTTTTAATTATTTACTCTCTTAATAACCCCTAACATACATTTTTGTGTATCATTATTTTCTTTTTATTTCATTATTGAAGGTAGTTAAATATGTATTTAAACTTGGGATGTGAGACCGAAACACAATATGTTTAAATATTAGAAGGCATAACAAACAGTTTTTAATCATGTCGATCATGTAAATGCAAATCGAATCCTATATCTATACGAAACTTAGAGAATGTCTACCTATTTGAAAAGAATATATAAAGAAATGTATAACTTTTCATCGTGTTTTACAGCTTTTGTCTCACCTTCACATCCTGAGCACCAACAGAAACAAGATTTGAATCGAAAGTTATACCCGGCTAATACAACAAACATTAACATTATACCATTTTAATGGACTGTCTGAAGAAAAGAAAAAAAAAGAAGAAAAAAAAAAAAACGTTTCCAGTTGTTTTCAGTTGTTTTTTCCCGATCGCTCCGCAAACTAAACCGCATCTTCTAGTAACCTATCCCCGGGTCGCGTGCCGGGTTGATAATGATTTTCCGGCCTAGTTTTGTTTTCGCAAGAAAACTTTCTGGATTGGTTTATTTCTTTCAACACACGATGGTTGAGTACTTCTGAACATCACCGTAATATAGAAAACAAATTTGTTTCGCTCATCAAAACATTCCTTTCAAGAAAATTTTTAAGGGACACCATTAACTACAGCGATGAAACGTTACTTTATATATTTTCTGTTGTTTTTGTTGTGTTGCAAGGTATACAGATATTTAAAAAATAAGTGAACTTAACTTCAGTTTCAGTTTAGTTTCTTTTATTTTACATGAAAAACAATACTTCAAAAAACATGGCATAATAAAAAAAAATTGATATTCATGAGAAACAAAGACATATACACAATGTTAGTTTGTATTGTATTTACACTGAATAATTTCAAAATTATATGTAGAAAAAAGGGCATACAGATATTTACAAAAATAAGTGAACTCAAGTTCAGTTTCAGTTTAGTTTCTTTTTGTTTCACAAGAAAAAACAATACTTAAACAAAACATAGCATATCAACAAAATTGATATTCATGAATAACAAAGATATCTACACGAGCAAAACTCTGTATTGCATTTAATCTGGCTGATTTCGAAATTACATGTAAAAAAGGGAACTTAAGTATATAATACAAAACAATGAAATGATATAGACGGTGGATGTAAGAAAAAGAGAAATGGGAAGATATGGTAAAGAATGGGAGTCATTATAGGAGAATGAGAAGATAGAAGAGAACAATTTATAATGGAATGTTTAAGGTTCAGTTTTGTCACTATATTATAACGAATACAACGATGAAATGATTTCGATAATAATGTACAAGCAAACGGCAATACCATTGTTTTAATATGAATATCTCTTTAATTTTATGAAAATACAATGAAAAAAAATCATCCCAATGAGACTTTTTTTAATAAATATATTTCTTTACACTAATGTTTTATATAGGCCTATTGTTTTATTACACACATATTTATTCACAAAGAGCGCTTTTTATATACAATTCAGTATAAAATATGATATGCCATGATAGAAGACCAATATTAAATTTACTTCTGCTTTTATTCGATTAAAAAAAAACATTTATTTGTGTCAAACCCTTCCATACTTCATTTTGAACTCCCGAATCTGTAGTTTAGATGTGTGCTACACTTTACCCCCAAAATGATAATAAAGCAATACAACTTGAGGAACAGAGGCACACCAGCGTTTCGATACTTCCGTATTGATACTCCGAAATGCAACACACATTGCGCGCTGATACTACGCGTCCAACGAGGTGTTATTAATCTTTTGATAATAATCAAGGAAGAGATCTTCCTTTAAGATTAAAACATTATCACCATCTTGCACAAAGTCCTCGTGACTTTGGAACTTTCATGATAACAAGTATAACTGTCTTTTTTGTATAGAGATACACTGCAGCAGGAGGGGGAACTAAAGGTTTTTCCCTGTTTTTTAAGAGTTTTTCCCCATTGGGTAGACGGAAAGAGGTGACAATGTTTATTTCCGCCTTCGAAATAAATCGTGTCGGTGTACATGGCCCCTGTGTGCATACAGAGCTCATAGGTCATACTCAAGAACCATTTTATAGCTATCCCTACAATAGACGTTCTATATCTGGCTCAATAGTCAAACTATCCATTAACTCTTCCGCTGCCAGTAAGGGCTGATTGCATGGGATACTTGCATGTAGGATACCTCTCCAACCGTTGACGTGTTAATTACTTTCTGAGGCAGAGATGCACCAAAGAAGATCATTCGCTTTTTGAGAATATATTTAGACAAAGGCTTTTTTCTAAAGCTACTCCTACATTTGAAGTGCTATATTTGGATTAGTAGTTACTATTTCTTAACTCTTCTGCTGCTAGTATAGGACTAGATCGCGTTGAGCTACATGTATTGAGAGCCTGGACTACACTGACGAGGTGGTGTTCATTGCATTCGGATCTAGTACCGCGAGAAAGAAGACCTTTTGCATTATATCCATACATCATTTTTGTTTAGTTAGCCTTTTCCCCTCAACCTTACAAGAATTAGCAGAGTCTTATTATTATATTAATATGACTGAAATATACCCGCCATCTTTAGAATTTCCAGTGGACTTTAAAAGCACATCATCTTCGAACTTCGTGGGACCAATGTCTTTCTTCCCCTTTCTGGTATTTTGCGTACATTAATTCAACATATATAAAGATTTGTTTTAATTATTTTTAGATTGTTATTTGGGCTTATTTCTTTTTGTATATAGATGCTTAAATATATTTTTTAAGTGATATATACTGTCGATTTGTTCAAAGAAGTGATGTTTATTGGATAAGTAAAGCATTAAAATTTCCTTTTTTATTTCCTATTGATATAATTTTTGTTATACTTTCGAGGCAAAGCTCAACTTCATAGTTCTTTTTGTTGTTGATTTTGTCTCTTAATACCCCTATATCGCAGCTGCAACTTGGAGATATATGTGTTTCGTCTCATGAAAGAGGAGATACATTACATATGCACACTTTCTACTGTCTGATTATCCTACGTAAACAAAACAAAGGATGCATTAAACCTCTTTAGATCATATCCATTTACTTATTATACAAGAGGGTTGAAGGTTATCCTTGACTTTGTGTTTGTTTGTTTGTTTGTTATTCTCTTTGTTTACGCTTCTTAAAATGGTGTAAAATTCAAAACAACAATTCTTTGATTACCCGTTCGCCCACATATTCTTAATAAAAAGGGCACTACCTGATAATATTATTTTGTTTTCAAGTATGTAATAAATGGACACTTATAACTAGGTTAAAGTTGTGCTTATACATCTAGGGTCAATATCCTAGTTATCATAACCATATGAGGAGTCTTTTTTCCGCAGGATCAGATGAACAATATTTGTCAAACCTGGAATAATACAATCTATGCTGACAGCGGTCGAATCGAGTCTGTTTTACGTCACTCGAGAGGGCAAGCGAATTTGTTCCTAATTGACCCGGAAGTGGTTAGTGGCGTCTCGCCTTCCCATATTCCACTAGGAGTTGTAGAGGTCAATCTTTAAGCGTTTTCCCCTTCTCAGAAGATTTGCGGTGAGGGGGGAGAGATAGAGAAGTTGGACAGATATTGTGGTGGGGTGCAAAATATAGCGAGGAACTTTCAATTCCTCTTCCATTACGTGCACATTTCCTTTTCAAATACTCTCGTTTATTGGCACTTGTGACAACCGCGGACTCGGGAAGAAGTCAAAGGTTTTACGCAAGTTAGCAAATTTTACAATACACTATCTTTAGTAAAAAGCGTCTGAAGTGCCTGATCAGTGTTCCTCAATTTGTTATATGCCTAATTGGACCTCAATGATTATTGGGAACCAAATAATATTTCATTGTGCAGTCATAAGGAATACTACTATTGATTTTCGTCTCATGAATATCATCTCATTTATGTTTTCTGTATAGGAAGCATTATCGGTAGTCTCGGACGACCAGACGCTATTTGAGAACACATACCGTGAGGTGAATAAGTCCAACACTATCGTCTCGTCGCCACACAGCACCCACATCCTGACAACACCTGTCCACAAGCCTAAGCTATCCGTGGTTGCATCGCCCACCAACGAGAGCCACATCTGGAGCTCGTGCGTACAGGACCAAAGGATGAAACAAGAGATTGAGCAGCCCACTTCCGGTGCCCACGATGGGCTTCCGGGGCCACAGGTCAGTCGCGGGGGACCCGAGTCGCCGTTGGATTGTAGCGTAGCGAAACCCCGCCAGCAACCTCCTCCCCACGGAGCGCCACAGGGCACCATCAACGCGGAGCCAACACAGGCCGCGCCACCATATCCGTCGTGTCCGCCACAGCCGTACCTGGGTACCACGGGTTCCACGCCCGAGGAACGGTCGGCTTCAGCGGGTACCACGGGAAGGTCACCGCCACCAAATGTCACCACCAATGAGAAGAGGGTCATCGTACCTGCTGGTAAGCATATATCATTGCATATATCAAAAAAAACCGTCTGATAATGAGTTCACATATCCCATTTGATCAGAATACTACACATTACTGCAATTAATAGTGATTCCACTTAATGTTACTCAATTTTAGTATACCATAAGGCGCCAGTCCATATATTATGTTATTTGTTGTATGTTTTCATCTTTGTTGTCACTTTATTTTCCCATTTAAGGGTCAGCGATACGGGTTGTATCAACGGGATATGCATCTTTAAAACAAAAAACTTATTTTCAATCCTTCTACAGTAGATAGATATTCAATTTAAATCAGAATATTGAATAGTCTCTTGAATAATCCTTTAAGTTATACAGAGTGCTTTAGTTAGATCGGCAAAGCCTGATTCTCTCCTGAACAATTGAAAATGATTCAATGATTCGCTCGTTGACATGCCTGTGGTGAAACTGAAATTATAAAGCCCTCTCACCTCTCTCTCTCTCTCTCTCTCTCTTTCTTTCTTACTCTCTTTCACACCCCTCTCCTCCCTCCCACCGCCTTTCTCTCCCTCTCCCTCTCTACAGCCATGACTGTACAAAATAAGTCATCATTGTTTCGTTATTGTCGTGAGTAACCGCGTACACTCACTTCATAGAAATACCTTAATAAGTGAATTGACGTTCACAAGCAGTCGTCAACAATTGAACAAATCTATTTTCACTGATGACATTTGTCATTCGGATCCCCGTATGGATTTTGTCAGACCACAGAAAAGCCCAAGTGATCTAACGCGTCTAAAATGTCTAGCTCTAATTAAAGGGAACAGGGTACGATTAATCCATTGGCTATGAATTTCTTGGTATAGTCTGCCTTCATATCCGCATCATCTGCTCCTATAAGATAGAATAAAGGTACATGTACATGTATATCTTTCTTCGATTTTTATTGTTTTTTGTTCCCATTCCGTTCACCTAATTTGTCCTTCAACTCCACTCTTAATAGTTATCTCTTTCTTTGTATACCGTTCCCTCTTTCTTCCGCTACCTCTCATCCCTCTCTCCTTCTCTAATGCTTATCTATCTCTCTCTCTCTCTCTCTCTCTCTCTCTCTCTTTACTTCCCTTCATTCTCTCTCTGTTATTTTCCCCCACCCGACCACCCTCTCTCGCTCCCTTTCTCTCTCCCTCCCTCACCTCTCCTCATCTCCTCTGCATCTCTCTACACCTTCTTCCACATCCTCATAACAACTTCTTCTTCATGATGGTGGTCAAGAAAGTGACGAACACCTACCAACAAAGTCCTAAACGTTTCACATGGAAATTTAAAGGTACATTTATAGTTGATATGTCAAGGATAATAGTACAAATCTATGATCTAAAAAATCTGTGAACTATATCAAACGTTCAACTAGAAGTTATCTAGAAATCTATATCACCATAAGCATCATGACCATAGGTGTGAACTGACAAGAATCGATATGTCAAGAGAAAAAATAGTTAAATCTAGTTGTAGCCAGCAAAGAATTTACAAGAGGCATATGTGCTATATATGAAACCTTTAACTAGACATTATACTAGCACATCCCTAATACCATGAGTTTGACTTGATAAGAGTCGATATGTTATGAAAATAATATGAAAATAATATTAAAAAATATTCTTTTTTTCTCGACATAATACCATATACTATTAACACCTATGGTTTATATGCAACCTTTAACTAGCAGTTACCCGACCAGTTCCTCATCATGAATAGCATTGACTCGATAAGTGTCGATATGTCAAGGAAAATAGTTAAAATTATTTCTGAAAAAATAGCACATGCTACTTATATTATCGGCACCTGTGGTTTATAATTCATGTAACCTTTAACTAGAAGTTAACCAGCCATTAGCTCATCATAAATATCATGGTTTTGACTTGATAAGAGTCGAAGGAAGTGTTCCATTAGTGCATCGCTACCTGCTGATCGGAGTCCTCTAAGCTTTCCACGTATCCCAAGACCCCTTCCCCACTGCCAAAATGTTAAGATTTTTAAGCCCTCGATAATATTCCAAAACAAGGCCAAAGAGTAATCGAATGCTGATACGGACTATCATTAATTCACTCACATCTGTTTAGCGCTGAAATGTATCAGTCAGTCCAAAAAGTTGGAAAGCAATGTCCTGGAAAACAAACGAATGCCCCAAATTAGAATACTACATTCAATTATTCTTTCGTTGCATTTTGATTGTTGCGTGTAAATTAGTTCTATATTTGTTGTTGTTGTTCATAAGTTCAATATCTAAACATCAATTATGTATAATTCAAATCTCGAAACACCATTCGGTTCTCATGATATACACTTAATTGTTAAAAGAAACATAAACTGAAACATGATTAAAGAATACTTTTATAATTTATTATTATTTACATTTATGTATAGCCTGATTTCGCTTTCACTTTTCACCTTGGAAAGTGCATGTAGCAGTTTACTTTAGCTCTAACTTGTCTGATTTAGAATGAAAAGAGTACTTCTAAATTCTTGGAAACCATGTATTTCATACCCCCCCCCCCCCCACTCCCATCGCCTGTTGTTTTGCTGATTTACAATCATTCAATCCACAATTGTATAAGCTTCATACGCCGTCCGTTGGTGTATACAGCGCCACCAAACCAACAACCTAACAACTGAATCCTATGGGAACATTCCCCTTCTAAACTCGTAGGTTATCGTGGAAATATTTTGGAGGGGGGAGAGAGCCTGCGAGAGGAAAATTCACTCAGCAATTAATTACGATGATGGTGAAAATAAACCGGAGTCTTATCGCTCTAGAAATTACTCGACTGTGTGTTCGTAGGTAGATGGTCGTTTCCATCAAAGTGTACACGGTCTGTATCAATTATCTACATGTTGATGGCAATGGGCTCCATAGAGACCAAGTGGTCTAGTGGCTTGTGTCCTACCTGGAAGGTCCGTGGTTCGATTCCCTTGTTCAATGTTGTTTGTCACTTATGGTGGCAGGAAAGCACAACGGTCAAGTTGAAAACTTTAACAAACTAAGTTTTCGAGTTGGGGGGGGGGGCACAGGAACCAGAGATAACCCGAAGAAAGTCCGACTTGCCCCTTAAATGAACGAGAACTACATAATTTTCGGCAAACTGTATTCACTTTCTCAGGGAGAGTAAGCTATTTGTATTCGGTGCAGTTTCAACTTGATGCATAATATCTTTACAGATCGCGTATCTTTTCAACCAAAATGATTATGATCTAATCGGATGGTCGGCCGTTTAATTTCGGGCCGAATTTAGCTCCCATTTCTTGAAATAACTCGTGACGTCACACAAGTCTCGTGGGAGCAAGCACACGCAACAAAATGTATCACGTGATACCTGGTTTTGATGAAAGAATCAAAGCAATATTCTAACCCCTTTATATAAACTTCCACATCAGCAGAAAATGTGGGATAATGCGAGAACATTCGGTATGATTGTGAGAGGCAATATTGAATTTTGTTGGGAAACAAACGTCCGTAGAGGGTTGATTTCCCCCTCTTTTTCCAACACAGATCCGGTTCAATTTCATTTTGATAAAAACTTGGCCAAATCTATTCAAGTACAAAAAGTGCGTGTGTACCGAAAAACTCTCTCTTTTTATTCCAGTAATATTTTTAACTTTTAAAAACATTCAACTCTATTTTTCTTGGTCTCAGATCGTGTTCCATGACTTTTCTTTAATAAAATATACAATTGCAGTGTTCAACATGATATGGAAACCAATGTTACTGTGATATGCAGTTATTACATTATTAAAAGCGATATTTGAAGGTAAATTAGGCATAATATTTGATAACAATTACGCTCTCAGTAAAATGCTAACAATCTATCGATCTTGATATAATTTGATAGATAAAAGCAGAACCAATGATAAACATGCCTCCTGCTTTCTTTCTTTTTTTTTTTTTTTTACCTATAACAAAACCCACAGAAGTTTAACACTGCTAAAGCTTGAGAAAACTAAATATTCATTTATTTGGACAAGGATCTTCATACTTCGAATTCCATGGCCCATAATGATACAACCTTTTTTTAACCAGTAGTCAACTGATCACGTATCACTAGGCTGTAGTACATACAGTAGTTGTATAGGTATAATGACGATCGTAAGCATTATGTTTTGATAGACGAATGATTGATGAATACAATCTTCACACTAACGAATGTGCACATTCATGCAACTTCATAAACAATGCATGCTTGACATTAAAACATGTGTATAGCCGAAGAATGCATTGCAACCTGTACCTGACATTCTTGCCTCAACCAAGCCGGCCATAAACTCTCCCGCCTTTGTTATTGCAGGCAATCGATAGCGCGGCTGACAGTTTTGACTAGCGCGCAGCAGACGTTTTTTGAATGAATAATACAGAAAAAGGCGGGAATAAACAAAGGCGAGCTCACGTGACATGGTGTGTGTGTGCGAAAATGCATGGTACACCCAGGGCATGTGAGTTTAAAGTCTCACCTCCCTGGTACACCTGCCTCGCGGATTTCGGAGAGTACGCCATTTATAGCCTAGCTCCAAGGAATATAATTTATTCTTTTCTAAAGTAATTATGATCAGTATACAACCGGCAAAGCGCTAATTAATGTTATTTGATTAAAATATGAAAAGTGCTATTCATTATATTATATTCCCCTGTGTGGATAACGAGTAACATAATATTCATATTAGTATTATTGAATTGAAAGCTTTCTCGAAACAAATTAAAGTATTGATAAGTCTGTGACCAAAAACGTCAACTTCGTAAATAAAAAGAAAGAAGACGTAGATGAAAATAATGTTTGATCAGAAAAAATAATTAGGAGGGAAATTCAAAACAGGGAGTGCCTATCATAAACAAAACGTAGTGGAAAAATCAACTTGATTGTGGTAAAATAAAGCGTACATGTACATCAGTTAATACAGCAAATAAACCTTCAAATTCCTCTACTAAACTAAATTGCATTACAATGTACTAGTTTAGATTTCTTCGTGACTTTCTTGTTTCCA